AACCCTGTCTCGAAAAACCAAAAAAAAAAAAAAAGCCAAGAGTGATGCCGGGCGGTGGTGGCGCACGCCTTTAATCCAGCACTTGGGAGGCAGAGCCAGGTGGATCTCTGTGAGTTCAAGGCCAGCCTGGTCTACAGAGCGAGATCTAGGACAGGCACCAAAACTACACAGAGAAACCCTGTCTCGAAAATCCAAAAAGCCAAGAGTGGTGATGCATGCTGTATTAGAGGAACAGAACAGAATTGATAGAATGAATATGTGTTTATGTGTGTCTGTATGTGTGTGTGCATGTATGTATGTAATTTATTAGAGTAGCTTAAAGGCTGTGGTCCAGCTGGTCTAACAATGGCTATCTATCAACAGAAAGTCCAAGAATTCAATAGTTGTTCAGTGATTGAGGCTGGATGTTTTATCTGGCCTTCAGTATACTGTAGTTGAAGTTTTTTTGGTTCTGTCTGGCTCCCGAGGCTCTACAGCCGCTTGGATCCAAGTAAACACACAGAAGGTTGTATTAATTAAAACTACTCGGCCATTAGCTCAGCCTAACTATTGACTAGCTCTTACACTTAAATTAACCCATAATTTTTATTTATGTTTAGCCACATGGCTTGGTACATTTTCTCAGTTTTGCCTTCACATATTGCTTCCTCTGTGTCTGGCTGGTGACTCCTGACTCAGCCTTCCTGTTCCCAGAATTCTCCTCTTTGCTTATCCTGCCTATACTATACTTCCTGCCTGGCTACTGGAACACAAAAAAAAACTTTCAGTTACAGTATACACCAGAATCCCAAAGAAGTAGGCTCTAATGCTAGTGAAGGAATGGATTTGCCAGCAAGGACAAGCAAGCAAGGAGTGAAAGCTTCCTTCTTTCGTGTCCTGTATATAGGCTACCACAGGAAGTTGTGGCCCAGATTAAAGGTGGTTCTTCCCACTTCAAATGAGTTCATTAAGAAAAATCCCTCACAGGTGTACCCAGCCTCTTGGATTTTAGTTAATTCCAGATGTAGTCATGTTGAAAGTAATAATAGCCATCACACTTGTTTATAATCACAGTCCTGGAATATCCCTGAGATCCACAGGCAGATCCCTGGGGTACATCTAACCTTGTCAAGTTGCAGGTCAGTGAGAGACCCTGTCTCGAAAGAATGGTGGATGGTTCCAGGTTCTGATGGAACCAACTGGAGCAGCTGGACCTACAAGGAAACTTCAAAGCTAAGGATGGATGGGGTGTGTGTCTGCATGTGTCTGAGGACTAGAGGTCAACCTAGGGGTTTGATTCTCAGGCACCTTGAGTTTTTTGAATCAGAGTCTCCCAGGGGTCTGGGACTCGCTGAGTAGCCAAGCCTGGCTGGCTGGCTAGCAAGCCCTAGGATCTGACTATGTCTACTGTTCTAGCACTGGGAATGGAAGGGCACTACTGTGCCCAGATTTATTTATTTATTTCTACATGGGTTCTGGGGACTTGAGTCAGGTCCTCATGCTTTCACCGCAAGCACTTTATCAATGGAAGTATCTCTCTAGGTTCAGCGATTTTAAAACAAGAATTCCTCAGTTAGTTTTCTTGGTTTCTATGTGTTCCTTAGACATGACATAGATGGCCTTGTTCTTGTGTTTATAATTATATTAATTAAACACTCCTAATATTACTTAATGACTCAAGGTGTGTACCTGCCAGGTGAAACTGGAGGTCTGTTTATTTGGTTGTAAACCTCAATCATACTCTAGCAAGATGTGTCTCAGGCTCCAAGGTTGGCCAAGCCAAGAGCGGCACCCTCTGTCCTTGCTCTTCCCATGTCACAGCCCTGAGGGGGTGATCTCAGCTCCTCCCTCCTCCCCAGCTCACTCTTAGGGCCAGAAGCACCTCAACCAAGGACTTCCCTTGAGAATTTAGAAGGTGTTCATCATTGTTCCGTGACTGTGATAAAATACTTGAGATAACCAGCTTCTAAGGATGGGAGGTTTATTTTTTGGTTCAAGGTTTCAGAGATTTTCGTCCATGGTTGCTCAGCATTGTGGTAGCACACAGTACCTCACAGTGGCCATGAAAGGCGCAGGAGGCCTGCCCACCACAGAAGCCAGATGCAGAGAGATAGGAAGTGGTTTTCAGACCACACCCCTATGCCTTTGTTGTAGAATATTATTTCAAGGTGTGTTACTTTTGTAACTGGAACGATTGTTTAATGATGCAAAGGTGTGTTTGAGTAAATAAAACTCACCTGTGGTCAGGAGACTGAGTCAGCAACTAGCTGACAGGAAGTGGTAGGGAGGAGCCAGGTGGAGAAAAGTTTTTAAGGAGAGGTGAGGAGAAACACCAGGGCTTTTTGGAGGACTCAAGGTTTTTGGAGGATGCGAGCAAGGAGAGGAGGTGAGCTACTTGCTGTTCAGCCTCTGAAGAGCAGAATTCCACCTTAACCTTTGAATCTTGAGTTCTTTAGAGGGAGAGAGGTTTAGTTAAGTTCCCTTCATAGCTTTGCAAGAGTTGGAGCCAGAGGGAACAGATTTCCCTCCGACTACAGCCCTTGCAGCCTAACCACTGCTGGTAGGGGCAGAGTGGCAGTTGCTGATTCAAACAGCTGTGGCTTAAAAGGCAGCAGCCATAAAAAAAAAAAAAAAAAAAAAAAAATATGTCTTAGTTTTCTATTGCTGCTGTGATAAGACAACATGACCAAGGTAATTTATAGAAGAATTTTGGGGTTTGTTGTAGAATATTATTTTAAGATGTGTTACATTTGTTTATGCTGTGGAATATCTGTTTAATGATGCAAGGCTGTGTTGCATTCTTTTATGTTGTATTTGTTTAACTCTGTGAAGCTGTGTTACTTTGTCTAAAACACCTGACGGTCTAATAAAGATCTGAACAGCCAATAGCAAGGCAGGAGAAAGGATAGGTGAGGCTGACAGGCAAAGAGAATAAATGGAGAAATCTGGAAGGAAAAGAAGAACAAGAGATCAAGGAGTGAGAAAAGAAGGGGGCCAGCCACCCAGCCCCACAGCCAGCCATGGAGTAAGAGTGAAAGTAAGATATACAGAAGTAAGAAAAGGAAAAAGCCCAGAGGCAAAAGATAGACAGGATAATTTAAGAAAAGCTGGCAAGAAACAAGCCAGCATTTATAAAGAAAATAAATAAAGAAAAAAGCTGGGCATTTATAATTAAGACTAAGCCTCTGTGTGTGATTAATTTGGGAGCTGGTTGGCAGGCCCCCCAAAAGAGCAAAACCAACCATCAACAGGAGTTTATAATTCAGAGAATGAATCCATGGCCATCATGGTGGGGAGCATGGCAGCAAGCAGACAGACATGGTACTGGAGAGTAGCTGAGAGCTTACATCTTCATCCGCAAGTAGGGGGTAGTGGGGAGAGGGAGAGTGAGTGCTAACTAGGAATGATGTGGGCTCTTTGAAACCTCAAAGCCCACCCCCAGTGACACACTACACCTCCTCCAATAAGGCCACACCTTCTAATCCTTTCCAAAGGACTCCACCAACTGGGGACCAAGTATTCAGCTATATGAGCCTGTGGAGTCCATTCTCATTCAAATCATCACACCTAATGACCTAACTTCCTCCCACTAGACCCCACCTCCTAAGGATCCCTCCACTACCAGTAGCACCATAGGACCCAAGTATTCAAGATATGGGCCTTTCGGGGAACAGTCAAAATCCAAACTATAGGGAGTCATTTACGGCCCACAGGGCAGTCACCTCACTTCAGCCTCCTCATGGTGACCACAGGGACTGTTTTCCAAGTGCCTCCTACCAGGGGCCATGCAGGTCAAATACTGTGGAACAGACAGTGAATAGAGCAAACGATCTCTGAGGGACAATGGTTTCCAGCACAGACACCCACCTTTGGTGCCCCTGCCTCCACTTGCCCCTCATCATGGCAGCACAGTCAGGTGAGTGGTGCCATCCCTGGGCTGGTGATCCTGAGTTCTATCAGAACGCAGGCTGAGCAAGCCATGAGGAGCAAGCCAGCAAGTCGCACCCCTCCATGGCCTCTGCATCAGCTCCTGCTCCAGGTTCCTGCTCTGTTTGAGTTCCTATCCTGACTTCCTTCAGTGATGGACTATGATGTGGAAGAGTAAGCTGAATAAACCCTTTTCTCTCCAACTTGCTTTTGGTCATGGTGTTTCATCACAGCAATAGAAACTCTAAGCCAGAACCCATGTAGGTAAGTGTAGAGGACAGAGGTCAACGTTGAGTGTCTTCCTCACCTTATTTTTTTGAGGCTGGCCAACAAGCCCCCAGGTTCCCCCTGGCTCTGCCCCTGGTTCCCCAGGGCTGGGTCACAGGCACATGCCACCACATTCAGCTTTTACACAGGTGTTGGGACTCCAAATTCAGGTCCTCAAGCTTGTCCAGAGAGCGCCTTACCCGCCTCTCCAACCTTCTAGCTTTTTTTCTTTTGTATAGAACCTCACACTGGACCTGGATCTCAGTGATTCAGCTAACTGGCTGGCCACCAAGCCCCAGGGATCCTCCTGCCTTGGCATCCCCAGCCCCCGGCACTGGGATTGTGGGTTCACACTTCTGGGAGTCACTTTTTGCATGGGTGCTGGGAATCTGATCCTCACGCTGACATCATAAGTGCTTCACTGAGCTCTCCCCAGCCCCCAAGCTCGCTGTTTTGGAATTGTCTGCTCTGGCTGGGTATGGCTTCTAATTATTGTTCATCGGGTCTATTTCTTGGCATTATGTCACAATCAGATGGTTATTTTTCCCCATCTGTTGCCACAATCTGTTCAATCCATCACTTGAAAGAGTTCAGAGGAAATTGTCTCATCTACAGAGAGGATGAAATACTTCAGCCATGTTCAGTGTGGCCAGGGTTTTGGTCTGCAGAACTGTATCGGGGAATCTTCTTATATAATATTGAATTCAGAAAAATTGCTGGTTTTTTTTTCTCCAGTGCCCATGCTAGGTAACACAGAAACAATGATGAGACGTGGGTTGGGGGTGGGGTCACTAAATTCTGACACCCCCAAAATGTTCTTTTTCCACAGCATAGCAATATTTAATAAAGGACCTCCAGCTCCAGCCTTTCTTTTCAACCACAAATACTCTTAGCTCAGATTGAAAGGCTACAAATGCCGCTCACCAGCGGTGGAAGGAAAAAGCTCTCTTCTCGAAGGCATTTGATGTGGGCAGAGTGGTTCCCATTAGGAGCCCATCCTGTGTGCAGAAAGCTGCAGTTCCTTCTTCATTAAAGAAAGAGGTCTGAAGAGCCCCACAGCCAGGTGCTAATGGCATTATGGCTGAGGGGCCGCCAAGCATGGAGCTGCTTGGCACTTAACCAAGAGTCTGAAGCAGAGTCAGTGGGTAAGTGACCCTGGTAAAGCTCTGAGTGTGTGTGTGTGTGTGTGTGTGTGTGTGTGTGTGTGTGTGTGTGTGTGTGTAGGCCAGAGATCAACCTTGGGTGCCAATTTTTAGGTGCTGTCCTGAAATTTTAAATTTTAAATTTTATTTTATGTGCATTGGTGTGAGGGTGTCATATCCCTTAGAACTGGAGTTAAAGACAGTTGTGAGCTGCCATGTGGGTGCTGGGAATTGAACCAGGGTCCTCTGGAAGAGCAGCCAGTGCTCTTAACCACTGAAACATCTCTCCAGCCCCCACCTTGTTTGAGACAGGGTCTGTCATTGGCCTGGAGCTTGTCCATTTGGCTAGGCTGCTGACCAAAGTCTTTACCTGCCCAGTGCTGATATTCCAAGTGTGTATCATGACCACTAGATTTTTATGAGGGATCTGGACACAAAACTCAGGTATTCATGTCTGTAAGGTGAGCCTTTCACTGACTGAGCTATCTTCCCAGCCCCAAGACGTTAATGTCATGTAATATGATATGGTATTAGCTATCTTGGTTTTGTTTACTTGGTTTTGTGGAGGGGTGATTGACATACAATTGTGCATAATTATAGGGTGCTCTGTGGTATATTGATTCATGACATACATTGCACAACACTCAAACCAGGGTCCACAGCATATTTGTTACCTTAAACATTTACTATTTCTTTGTGACAGAAACATTAAAATATCTTCTGTTTGGGAGGAGAAAAAAATGGCTCAGCAGTTAAGAGTGTATACTGTCCTTACAGATGTCTTTAATCTAGTTCCCAACACCCTCATCCGGTAGCTCACAACTGCCTGGAGAGGTCTGACAGCTTTGCCCTCCTAGGGACCTGCACTGATGTACACACACACACACACACACACACACACACACACACAGAGAGAGAGAGAGAGAGAGAGAGAGAGAGAGAGAGAGAGAGAAATTATTTGAGACAGGGTCTTGCTCTGCAGACTGAGCAGGCCTCCAACTTGGTTCTCCTGCTGAGCCTCCTGAGTGCTGAGGTTGCAAGTGTGGGCCATCACATTTGATCTAAACTGTTTTTGTTTTGTTTTGTTTTACAGATATAACTCCATCCACCAAATAAAGAAGGCAGCAAAAAGCTGCCCTGGAATGGAGCCCTGTGAGGGAGGAGGGTAGAGGCCCTGGCCTAAGTGCATGTTCCAGGAAAGACAGAGTGGGCCTTCATCACGGGCTAAGTTACTCATGGCCCCGACTGGGAGCCCCATCCACACGCCACGCCCTTCCAATGGCTTCCATCCTCAAGCCCATAGGATCTCTGTGATGCTACTGCATGGGGTACAGGGGTTCAGGTCCCCTCACAAATGCATTTCCAGTAAGTATTGCCTTAGCTTTCAGGAGTAGATTGTGAAATATCATGTTTGTTTCTTTAATGTTCAAGTTACACTTATTTATTTAGTGTGTTTGTGCACACATGAGTGCCTGCTTGTTCTCACATGCATGCCACAGCACACGTGTGTAACTTAGAACTTGGGGGCATGGGATTCCACTTTGTGAGCCTGGGGATTGAACTCAGGTCATCAGCATTGGCAGCAGACAACTTTAGTCCCTCTCACGGGTCCTGTTTTGGGGCTAACTTAGGTGTTTCACGGTTTTATTTTATTTTTTTTTTTTGGTTTTTTCTTTTTTTTTTGGTTTTTTCGAGACAGTTTTTCTCTGTGTAGCTTTGTGCCTTTCCTGGAACTCGCTTTGGAGACCAGGCTGGCCTCGAACTCACAGAGATCCGCCTGGCTCTGCCTCCCGAGTGCTGGGATTAAAGGCGTGCGCCACCACCCGCCCGGCAAGAATTTTTTTTTTTTTTTTTTTTTTGGTTCACGGTTTTATTTTTATTGTGGTGCCTGCATTTCCTCCTCCTTGCTTCATTTACTGGTGTGGGACTGTTGCCAGCCTGTGTTAGGTTATGTCCTTTTCTTATTCCTGTTTCTGACCCATTAGTCATCCCTTAGCCTGAGCTGTTCATAAAATAGCTGTGTCAATGAAGGACCCTGTTATGATTTGGGTTTTTGTTCCCAAAGACCTTTCAGGGCCCTGAGTACCTAGAATGCTGACTCCTTGAGGCCTGGGGAGGAACTGCACCTCCCTGAAGGCCCTGCTTGAACACTAGCCTTTATCTGGGGCCTTATCTTGAAATCTTTTAGCCAGTATTTTCTTCCTACACATACAAGAGCATATGTGTATCCCTCAGTGCAGACCTATCACCATGGTGACAGTCACTCCTCAAGATGTTGAAGATTTGCTGAGGTCCACAAAAGACCATCAGCCCCACTGCTTATGGGAAGGTGCCTGGCGGGAAGCCTGGGAAAGGAAGGACTAGGGTGAGAGGGCAGAGACTTTGTCCATGCCACCAAGGAAGGGACAGGTACGCTGTAAAATGCACCTCCCCCTACCCCTACACACACCCCAGAGAACAGAGGGGTAGGAGCAGTCTGACTCAGTCCTCAGGAGAGAAATGCTCTGCTTTGTTTCCTAAGAGTTCACCTGTTGGAAATTTGGTCCTCCATGGCACTTTGAGAAGCAGTGGTACCTTTAAGAGGTGGAGTCTAGGTCTCACCAGGCTGCTCACCTGGAGAGCTTTGTGAATTTCTTGGAACCCCAGTGAGTTCCTCTAAGCACCAGTAGTTACATAAGCAGCTGACTGAGGCCAGGACACTCCCACCACACTGTCTACCACAGTGTGATACAGTTAGAAGATTCTCAGCAGAGTTGTGCAGTTGGGGCTGTTATCAGACTCTGAGCATTCAGAATCAGGGACAGGGGCTGGAGAGATGGCCCAGCCATTAGAGGCTGGGCTCACAGCCAAAAATATAAAATCAGGGACTAAGTAAACTTTTTTCTTACACGTAACCTTGCCTCAGGCATTTTCTTTCTTTTTTAGACTTATTAATTTACATCATATATGTATGAGTATTTTACTTTCATGTGTGTAAGTATACTGCATATGTACCAGGTGTCCATAGAGGCCAGAAGAGGGGGCTGAATTCCCTGGAACTGGAGTTACCATGTGAGTGCTGAGAACTGAACTGGGTGGGGTCCTTTGCAAGAGCAGCCAATGCTCTTCACCTCTTTCCAGTGCCAGGTATTTTCTTTTTTTTTTTTTTTTTTTTTGTTTTTTGTTTTTTTCGAGACAGGGTTTCTCTGTGTAGCTTTGCGCCTTTCCTGGAACTCACTTTGGAGACCAGGCTGGCCTCGAACTCACAGAGATCCGCCTGCCTCTGCCTCCCAAGTGCTAGGATTAAAGGCGTTCGCCACCACCGCCCGGCTCAGGTATTTTCTTATAGCAATAGAAAATAACCTAGCGAGGCATTGACACCTGACTATTGATGGTGTATGCCGATATGTGTGTGTGCATGTTCATGTGTGCATGTTCATGTGTGCATGTGTATGTGTTCATATACATGTAAAAGCCAGCAGTCTATCTCACATGTCATTCCCAATGGTCACAAAGATGCTAACCCATAAGAGCAGGGCAATAGATGACGATCAAGAGGGCTAAAGATGGCTCAAGCTAATTTGGCATGGACTTGTCACACTCCAAACTCTCCACAGTCATTCAAGTTCCTACCTGCTAATCAGCCTTGTGGAAGGCTCAGTAGATTACCAGGAATGATCTTTTACACTAGCATGCTTGAGGTGCTTGCTTCAATCTACAACACTACATTAAAGAAAGAAGCTGGGTGGTGGTAGTGCACATCTTTAATCCCAGCACTCAGGAGTCAGAGGCAGACAGATCTCTGTGAGTTCGAAGCCAGCCTGCTCTACAGAGCAAGTTCCAGGACAGCAACAAAACACAAGAATGGGAACGGCAAAGCTGAGCCATGATACCCAGTAGGACAGGGGCAGAAAATTCATTTCCAATATATAATGCTTTTGTGAGCTGAGTTTACTAGGACACAGCATGGGGAACTGAGGAGCATATGTAAATCTATCATGCAAAGGTATGGACTTTAAAAGCTCTTCATAATGGTATATCTAGAAAGCAAGCTGTTCCACTGGGGTAATTAGTCTGTTTCTAAGCAACCAGGTGAGTCATATATAGCTTCCTATTGTTCCTCAGAAGAAAGTCCCTTAGTGGCCACCTTCAGACCGCAGGCTAAGGGCAGCTAGGGTCTCATAGGTTTTGAGATGGAGCCAGTAAGACTACGAGGGGGACCTGGGAGGCTGCTGTGCTGTAGAGGTTGACCCAGAGAGCTTGGCTTGCGTCTGTTCATCTCTTTGGTTGGGTTCCCCATGGAATGGAAGTCCTTCCCTGTCAGGGAACATAGTCAAATTGTCTAGGGGGGAGTCGGGCGGTGGTAGCACATGCCTTTAATCCCAGCACTTGGGAGGCAGAGCCAGGTGGATCTCTGTGAGTTCGAGGCCAGCCTGGTCTACAAAGGGAAGTTCCAGGAAAGGCGCAAAGCTACACAGAGAAACCCTGTCTCGAAAAAAAACCAAAAAAAAAAAATTGTCTAGTGGGGAAAGGGCAATTAACAGGAGGGGTAGGAAAAGAAAGGAGGGAAGCAGGGCTGCGGGTTTCGGGATATGTTCATTTATATACATATATAAAATCTAGTTTTTTTTCCTTTTGCTATAGTAAAGCACTCTATAAAAGCATCATGGGGAAAGAAAGATTTTAATTGGCTTACAGTTCCAGGACATCGTCAATCATTGAAGGAACTCAAACAGGAACTTGAAGGCAGGCTTGCTTTCTATTCCTTTCAACATTACCTCTGACCAGGAACTCACATCACAGTCAAGGAATATAGAAGCACTATGGAGGATGCATCTTACTTGCTGGCTCTTTGATTGGGTTATGCTCAATTAGCTTTCTCACAAGTGCAGGATCATCTGCCTAAAGAATGATACCACCCACAGTGGGCTGGATCTCTTGTATCAATTAACAATCAAGACAATTCCCCCCCAGACACACTCATGGACCAGTCTGACCCGATCAAGCCCTCAATTGAGACAGCTTTCTCAGACAACTCTAGGGCATGTCAAGTTGACAGTTAAAGTTAAGGAGAACATACACATATATGAAAAAAATTAAACCAATGAAACAGTACTTCCTGCCAGGTGGTGGCGGCGCATGCCTTTAATCCCAGCACTTGGGAGGCAGAGCCAGGTGGATCTCTGAGTTCGAGGCCACCCTGGTCTACAGAGTGAGTTCCAGGACAGGCTCCAAAGCTACACAGAGAAACCCTGTCTCAAAAAAACCAAAAAAAAAGAAAAAGAAAAAGAAAAAGAAACAATACTTTCGATAAGATGGGCACAATGATGTATGCCTGTACCCCAATACTCCAATACTTGGGAGGACAAGACAGGAGAGTCACCTCAGATTTCCGTCTAGTCTAATCTACACAGTGAGTTCCAAGCCAGCTAAAGCCACATAATGGGAATCTGTCTCAAAAAGCCAATGCCAAGCAACAACAAAGGAGAAAAGAACTACCTGTGACAGATGACTTCTAACAACTTTCTTTTGCAGAGACAGGATTGGGCCAGGAGTCCCTGGGCCAGCCCAGATCATAGCTGGCAGCCATTCCCACCCCAGGAATCCAGGCAGTTTCTATTGCCAGGGCCAGAAAGGTCACTGGATGGAGAGGTGGCCCTCTGTATACACAGGCTGTACTTTCCAGATTCAACCACTGAAGATCTTGTCTTACATGGTCTGCCTATACTATTCCTAGGTGTCTACACTGAGCATGTGCAGACTCTTCCCTCTGTTCCCTAAACAGTGCAGTAAAAGAACTATGTACATAGCAATGCTCATCAGTGTTATAAGTAGCAGAAAGATGCTTTAAAGTACACAGGAGGGTATTTATGCTATTTTATCTAAGGAACTTGAGCATGTACAGAGAGAACACCCGCCCCCCATACACACACATACACCAGGAATACAAAGCATGACTGTGCAGAGCCAAGTTTAACCTAGTTCATCTTTGAGCCTCCCCGCCCGCAAGAGTACCACTTAGCCAGTGGTCTGGTCTTTTATTATCCCCAGGAGCTGACTCTGCCTCTCATCACGTGCATGTGGGTAGAGCGGAGTTACACTGTGTTGGGCTAATTGCCCTTTTATGCCTAGTATTCTACCATCACAGCACGGACACTTGCCCAGAGCCGTCCATGCATGTCCCCAGCACTTTCCTCACTCATTACCTTGTGGACATCAGCTGACCTCCAGCTGCAGGAACCCCACAGAGCAAGACAACTCTGCCCTTTCTCTAGTTGCAAAGGCTGCAGACTCTGTCATCAGCATCTTGGAGTCTGTCCTCAACTATCCAGCCTGACAAGATGTCAGGAAACATTGCTACTGCTCAGAACATGGAAATACACTTT